TTATTTTTTTTTTTTTTAAATTTATTTTTTTATTTTTTTTTTTTAATATCAAAAAAATATATTTTTTATTTTTATATTAAAAATAAAGATTCATTATAATTTATTTATTTCATTTATTTATTTAACATTAGAGTATAAATAAATAACAAAACCTGTAAGTTTTTTTTTGTGTTTCTTGTTGTTATGGATCAATTTAGCTTGGTTTCTTTTAAAATTTATTTATATTTTTTATTTTTATTTTTATATCACAATTTTTATTTTTTTAATTTTTTCACAAATATTCATTTATATGATAGATATAACACATAAAAGAAATTAAACATTAAAATTCAACATATTTTTTTAAATTTATAATGTGTGTTTGGTGTGTTTGTTTGGTAAAATTATATGTATATTTCTTTTTATGTTATTTATATTAAATTTTTTTAATTTTTTTAATTTTTTTTTTTTAATTTTTTTTTTTTAATTTTTTAATATTTTAATATTTTTTCTATATTAATTACAATATTATAATTTAATTAATAATTTAAATAAAGTTAATTAATTTTTATACTTTATTAAAAAATAGGTATTAGTAGTAGAAAGAAGTAGTAGTAGTAGTAACAAATAGTAATATTAGTTGTTGTAGATAAAATAAAAATAAAAAAAAACTTATATTATAATTAAAAGGTTGATAATAGTCATATCATCATAATAATAATCATCTCATCATCATCATCATATCATAAAAAATAATCACAACAATAAATTAACAAAATAAATATAGTATAAATAGAATATTAGTAGCAATAATTAATCATGATGGCAAAACCAAATGGAAAACTTCAATTTAAAACATTACAGGGACACGGGGCATTTTCAGACCCAGATTTTCCCAAAAGAACATGGAAGCTTTTAAAGACAGCTATGAGACAAATCCATCAAAAGAATGCAAGTAATCTATCATTCGAAGAGCTTTACAGAAATGGGTATAACATGGTTCTCCAGAAACATGGTGAAATTCTTTACAACAATTTAAAAAAGATGGTCGATAAACATTTGAAGGGGGTCGCTAAGACTATATCAGATTCAATGGATGACAAGTTTTTACAAGAGTTAAATGGTAGTTGGATTAATCACAAGACAGCAATGCTCATGATTAGAGACATTCTCATGTATATGGATAGAAATTATGTAAAACAAAATAACTTGTTAAGTGTTTTCGATCTTGGTCTTTGTTTATTTAGAGATAATGTTGCACACTGCCCATCAATTAAAGACAGATTGTTAAATACTTTATTATCAATGGTACAAAAAGAAAGAGAAGGTGAAATAATTGATAGGTAATTATTTTATTTCACAAATATTATACTAATAATAACGGTTAAAATAATATTAACTTTTTTTTTTTTAAAAGAATTTTAATTAAAAATATAGTTGAAATGTTAATAGATTTAGGTGTAAATTCTAAAGGCGTATATATTGAAGATTTTGAAAAACCATTGTTATTAAAAACTTCATCACATTATCAAGCTCAGTCACAATCACTTATAACCACTTGTAGTTGCCCAGATTATATGAAAAAGGTCGAAATTTGTTTAAAGGAAGAATTAGAAAGAGTTTCACATTATTTAGATAGCAGTTCCGAACCAAAATTAAAAGAAGTTTGTGAAAAACAATTAATTTCAAATCATATGAGAACATTAATTGATGTAAATATATAAAATTACTACTAATTAAACTGTAGTTGTTAGTTTTATACTAAATTTTTTATTTATTCATTTTTTATATCTAGATGGAAAACTCTGGTTTAATTTCCATGTTAAAAGATGATAAGATTGACGATTTAAAGAGAATGTATAGTTTATTTAGCAGAGTTGCAGATGGTTTAAATTTAATGAAAGATGTTATCAGTGGTTATGTAAAGGAAATTGGTAAATCAATTGTCATGGATGAAGAAAAAGTAAAATTATTATTAATTATATATATGAATGTATATTATTTGTGTTTTTGGTTACTAATTGTTTTTTTTTTTAATTATTTACAGACAAAAGAACAAGGTACATATTTCCAAAGTTTATTAGACCTCAAAGATAAATATGACAATCTTTTATCAAATGCCTTATTCAACGACAAGCAATTTATACATTCAATCCAACAAGTATGTATAATAATTATATATCCATAAAAAAAAAGTTTTTATTAATAATTTTTTTAAAAAATATTAGGCATTTGAATATTTTATAAATTTAAATCCAAGATCACCAGAATATATTTCATTATTCATCGATGAAAAGTTAAAGAAAGGTTTAAAGGGTGTTAGTGAAGAGGATGTTGATATTATTCTTGACAAGATTTTAATGTTATTTAGATTGATTCAAGAGAAAGATGTATTCGAAAAATATTATAAACAACATTTAGCTAAGCGTTTATTATTAGGAAGAAGTGTTTCAGATGATGCAGAAAGAAATATGATTGCTAAATTAAAGACTGAGTGTGGTTATCAATTCACAAGCAAACTCGAAGGTATGTTTACAGATATGCGTTTAAGTCAAGATACAATGGCTGGTTTCAAGAATTTTATTCAGGGTTTCGATAAGCCACTCCCAATTGATCTTAATGTCCATGTTTTAACTACTGGTTTTTGGCCAACTCAAAATACATCCAACTGTAATTTGCCACGTGAAATTCTTCATTGCTGTGAAACATTTAAAAAATTTTATCTTGGTAATCACAATGGTCGTCTTTTATTATGGCAAACTAATATGGGTACTGCCGAACTTAAGGCCAATTTCCCAAGCAAAACTCATGAACTCCAAGTATCATCTTATCAAATGGTTATTCTTTTACATTTCAATGATTCACCAAGATTATCATTCAAAGAAATTTCTGACCTTACAGCCATCCCAGTTTTAGATTTAAAGAGAAATTTATTAGCACTTACCAACCCAAAGAATAAGATTTTGGAAAAAGAATCTACTGCAACTACCAAAGGTATCGATGAATCAGATATTTTCATTTATAACTCTAAATTCAAGAGCAAATTATTCCGTGTTAAAATTATGGCTGTAGCTCAAAAAGAAACACCAGTCGAAGAAAAAGAAACAAGAGAAAAGGTTGATGAAGATAGAAAACATCAAATTGAAGCTTCAATTGTTCGTATTATGAAAGCTCGTAGAACTTTAGAACACTCAAATTTAGTTTCAGAAGTTATAAAACAACTCCAAACACGTTTCGTCCCAAATCCAGTTGTAGTTAAAAAGAGAATCGAATCATTAATCGAAAGAGAATATCTTGAAAGATCAAAACAAGATAGAAAAATTTATAATTATATGGCTTAATACAAAAAAAAAAAAAAAAAATATTATTAAATAATAATATGCAGTTTTAAAAAAAAAATCAAATAAATAAAACATCAAAAAAATTAAAGAAGAAAAGAAATATTAATTATCAAGATTTTAAAGAATTTTTTTTTTTCTGTTCCAATCAAATTTATTATAATTTAAATAATAACTCTTTTTCCTATTTATTGTAAATATATTGTTTTCTAAACTTTAAAAATAAATAAAATTAAAAATAATAATATAAAAAAAAAAGAAAGATAATTAGGGGTAATAAATTATTAAAATTAAAATTTAATTTAACTATTTTATTTTTTACAATAATAAATGATTAGTTTATATCTTGATTACAATATTCGTTTTGTTTGGCTGTGGCGAAAGATTTGGAGTTGATGCAGGTGTACTATTACATGACTCTTGATTTTGTGTATTATTATTATTATTATTATTATTATTATTATTATTATTATTATTATTATTATTATTATTATTATTATTTTCATTATAATTATTTATATTATAGTTATCATAGTTTACATTATTTTCATTTAAATTATTTGGGGTAGTTGTATTTGTTTGATTATTTACAATATTTACAATATTTACATTTTTAAAATTATTAGTATTATTAGTATTATTAGTATTATTAGTATTATTAGTATTATTTATATTATTTTCTATATCTTGAGGTTTTTTATCATTATTAAAGTTTTGAATGTTATTATTTAAAAAGTTTTTGACAACAGTTTTTATTGATTCATTTCTGGGATCAAGTAATAAACTTTTAATTGCAATGAATACACTTGTAGATTCTACTATTAAAGATATTATTAAACTGAACCATGCTAATGTTGGACGCCATGTTAATTCTCTGACCTATTATTGTTTTAAATTAAAATTTGTTATTATTAGGTGGTTTTGAATAAATTATATTTTAAAATATTATACTTACAAAATCAATTGTTTCCTCAATTTTGTGACCATAAAATGAGTAGCATAAACCATGATATTCATGAGATCTTTGATCGATACATAATTGAACTGAAAAAGTTGTGCTTCTAAATGCATGTGGTAATGATACTGGGTATAATACAGCAATTAATAAAAATAAAAATGGCATAAAGTTGAAAAGAAGAATAGCCAAAGCAATCCAACTACTTGTTGATTTTTTAACATTAAATATCTTTTTATTTGGATCTCCACCAATTTTCTTTATTTCTTCGATCCTTTTATTTTGTTTACTCTTCTTCTTTTTCTTCATTTTGTAAGAGAAACTATCCTCATCGCTAGAGTCATCTGAATCAATTTCTATATTGTAGTTATCTTCTTCTCTTTTAAAATCGTTATCTATATATCTTTTTGCAATATGATTCATGTATACAATAATTGAAAATATTGGAATAAATTTTATTACTAATGTAACTAATGCAAAATTATAAGAGGTTTCCAATATTTTTTGAATTTTTGATGGTTGTGTATAAAAATGGTTGTAAACTATATATGTTTCATTATGATCCGAAACCGGTAAATCGTTGGAGTATTGAACAAATGAGGGGTAGTAAAGATATACATCATTTTGGATATATTTTGTAGTGTTTTTATTATATATTGAAGAAGTAGATTTATATAGTGGTTGCGTTATTGAAAAATATAATAGTCCAAAATCAATAGATAATAGACATAGTAGTATTATTGATGCTGATGTTAATTTAAATATCATTTTTTATTATTTATTTTTTTATATATTATTATTTACATGAATTATTTTATAGTTATTATTATAATAATAGTTTTGATTATATTTTTATTTTTATTTTTTTTTTACAATGAATAAAGTTGTTGACACTTTATTTGTTTTGTTTTATTATTGTTGATATATTTGTTATTATTAAAATAGAATATACATAATATACACAAAAAATTATCAATTTATTGTGTTTCTGTTATTAATAATAAAATTTATTGGGTTTTATAGATTTGATAGTTATATTGTTTTTATTTTTTTTTATTTTTTTTTTATTTCAAATTAATAAAATAAAATTTTTTGAAAGGGTGTGAAATAAATAATAGGAATAAATATTAAAGCTTTTTTATATTTGTTGTTGGGATTTTTATTTATTTTTGTTTTATCGAAATCATATTATAAAGGTACAAAATAAATAAAATATAAAAAATACTTTTAGTTCTATGAATTATATAATAATAATTTTTTATTTTGATAAAGACTTTTTGTTTGGGCGTTATTTATTAGTTGGTTATTTTTATAGAATGATATTCTTTTTTTTTATTAAATGATTATTTTAATTTTAACAAATAATAAAATTATTTTTTTAAAAAAAAAATAAAATAGAAATAAAAAAAAAATAAAAAAAAAAAAAATATTTTATATATTATTTATATTATTATTTTTATCTCTTTATGGTGGGGGTTAGTTTTTTTGTGTATATTAAAATAACTTGGTATTATAAGAGGAGTGATATTGAAAAATAAAGTGTATATATTTGTTTTAATATTGAGAAATAAAGTTGTATTAAAAAAAAAAAAAAATAATAACAAAAATAAAAATCGTATGGTGATGATTAATTTAAATTGGTATTGAGTTTCTATATCTATTTAAAATTAATATATATAATTATATAAAAAAATTAATTTATAAAGAGAAACTATTATTATAATAATTGTTTTTATTGTGATTTAGGTACGATTATTAATTACTATATATAAATTATATAAATAATAAATACAAATATTTTTTTATCAAATAGATTTATATTAAATAATAAATTGGTGATGGTGACTCCCAAAAGAAAAAAAAAATAATATGTTAATTTTAATAAAATAAAATAAAATTAAAAAAAAAAAAAAAAAATAATACAAGTAAGTGTGCACACTTTTTGAAATAATTTTTTTTATTTTAAAAGATTATTTTTATATATAAAAGTTTATATATTAAAAAACTCATTATATTAATAAAGAATATTGTGATTTACTCCTTAACAACAACACACACAATATTTAACCATAAATAATTATATATAGTTTCACATATATTAATTTAATATATTAAAATATGTTTTTAAGTGGTTAATATAACAATTATTTTTTTATATGGAAAGTTAGATATATATAATTTTTATATTGTGGTAACAGTGTATAGGTGTGTTAGATAACGTGAGACAGTGTGCATAAGTGTGTGTGATTGGGGTAATTTTTATTTTTTTATTTTTTTTTTCAATAGAGCAGTGTGTTAAAAAAACTTTTTTTCTTAATAAAAAATACAATTAGGTTTTGTTGTATTGTTATTATTTTAATATCATTTTGTTCTAATTTTGGGTTTATAGGAGTTTGTCGTTATTGAAATATTACTTTTTATATTGATCAATAAAATTTTTTTTAACAATATATTTTTGACTATGGGAAAGATACACCAAAAATAAAAATAAAAATAAAAATAAAAAAAAAAAAAAAAAAATGAATGTAAAAAGTAATATTTACTTTTTCATTTTTGAGAAAAAAATAAAAATAATAATATCAATATGATTTTGATTTTATAATTATAATAATAAGAATAGTAATAATAACAATTTTTTTTTATTTTTTTTTAATTACATTTAAAAAATGATTTTATTAAATATAATTTTAACCATCTAATATTATTATATTAAAAATATTAGTTTTAAGAATAGATTTTTTATTTACATTGATATAATGAATCATCATCAAAAGATTTCTCTACAAATGATTCCTCCTTAATTTGAATATTTATATCTTTAATTGCAGATTTTTTAATATGTTTCATTTCTTCATCAGCATCATCAATATTGCTATGTACATCATTAGTAAAATAATAATATATTGCAGTTAATAACCCGAGAGAATCCAAAACAGCTGAAATTATACAAAATACCCAGAATGTGTCAGGATACCACTTTAGTAAATATAACTATAATTAAAAAAAAAAAGAAATTAAATTAAATTAAATTAAATAATAATAATTATTATATATATTATATTTTAAAACTTACATCATCTTTTGAAGTATTTATAACTTTGTTTGAGCCTTCATACTTTGTACATTTAAAGTAATACTGTTTCTCTTTATTAAATCCGTCACATAGTTGATCATAATAGATATTAGAGGTTTCATGATAAAATTTATTTTGATCTCTAAATACTCTGGGAATATCCATCATGAGGAAAAATGTTATATACATTAGAATATTTAAAATAGAATATGATATAAAAAGTAAAATATTTATCATATTTCTTTTTTTTTTATCACTTTCTAAAAAAATATCAAAATATACCATATGATTGCATCTTTTTATGAAAATAAATAATGGAACAAATCTAAAAACTATGCACACTTTATTTAAAAAATTTAACATTGTAAAAAATTTTTTTAATGGTGATGATCCTGAATAACTATTGATTACATTATCATAATATCTTTCAGAATCTTTTTTGTTGCCTATAGAGTCCCATTTTATAGAGAGTTCGTTGTCGTGATGGTATTTGTGCGATGATGATATTACTTGATCAGGGTCGCTGATATTTACAAATATATCTTTAAATGTATAAACAACATATCTATCAAAATAGAATTGTGTTTCTTGATATGTAATGTTTTTTAATTGATTTTCATTTCCCTTAAAATTTACTATTATAGTTTTATATAGATTTGATCCATTGGAAGATACTAATAAATTAGTAGCTACGAAAAAACTTAATAGAATAATAATACCACCAAAAGTAAGTGATATTTTTAAATACATTGTTTAATTATTTATTTATATTATTATACTATTATTTTGTTTTTTATTATTTAAGGTAATACATTATATTGGTGTTATTAAAAAAATAAAAATTAAAAAAAACATATATAAAAAACAAATATTTAAAAAAAAAAAAAAAAAAAAAAAAATTTAAATCAATCATCACACAAGTATAATAAATAGGATTGTAAATTTATTGGAATCTGTTTTTATTAAACTCACCCTGTTTAACAGACTAAAAACACATCGTAGTTTATAATTTACCCACACCTGTTTAAAAATAGAAAAATAACAATATTGTTCCCCCTCAATTTTCCCCCATTTTTTTTTTAAAGAAATTACGATATATTATTTTATACATTCAATATTGGCATGTTTATAATTTAGTATTTAATATTAAATAAAAATATATATTATAATAATAATGAAACAGTTTATAACAATTAATTTTTTAATATTTAATTTTTTTATTTTATTTTTTTTTATTTATATTCTATTTTTAGTATTATGGATATATATTTTCTTTAACATATATTGAAATAATGGCTAAAAAACAAATAACATCAATGAATAAAACAGAGACTATTGAAAACCATCCACCTCCTGGACCCCAACTGTAGTTTGTAATCTGATAGTGAAAAAAAAAATTAATATTTTTTAACTAAAAAAAAAAAAAAAAAAATAAAAGATATACTTACAGTTTTGTCATTATTTGATAGAGAAGAACCGTAAAATGAATTGCAATAGCCATAATAATTATCGTTATTGTAGCATATTGATTTTAAAAATATTCCATCTTCTATATCGGTAAATGCCTTTAAGCTTTTCTTTATACATAAAACCAAAACCAATGTAAATGCTAAATTGAAAATAAATGTTGTAAAAATATATGTAAAGTCACCCAGCAACAATGCGTTTAATCTAACTTTATATTTCCTTAAAGTTAGAATTTTGTTACTATTCGTTCTAAATCTATTATTATTATTAGCTTCATTATTATTATTAGTATTGTTTGAATTAGTATTAGTAGTAGTAGTATTATTATTATTATTATTATTGTTTGAATTGTTATTAGTATTATTTGTATTATTTGTATTATTTGTATTTTCCGTATTTTCGTTGTTATTAATGTTTCTTGGTTTTCTTATAAATGTATTTCCTTTATAAAAAATAAATAAAAGTGGAAATATTTTAAATATCATTATTCCTAATACTGATGATGATATTAATTCAAATAAATTGAATTTTATATCATTTTTTTTCCCTAGATTACTGTAAAATAATTTTTTTTCTTTTTTTTGATATTCCCCTAAACTATTTTCAAAACCTTTTTCTAATGTGTCGTATATTACACTTTTATGAAATGTTATTATATGATCTTCTTTTGATTGAATGATTCTATTATCTTGAGTGGTACTTGTAAATGAATTGTTTTTATAATTTACAATTGTAAATTTAGCTTGATAGTATGGTAGATCATAGACAAAACTTGCGAATAATATCATTGTATTAAAATAAACACATAATATTAATATTAAAAGTGGAAGAGTTATTATAAACTTCATTTTATAAAAAATATAAAAAAAAATAAAAAATAAAAATAAAATAAAATTTAAAAACAATAAAAAAAACTATACTAAACTTATTTTTTAAAGGTTATATATACTGTTTAATGATTAAATATATTAACCTATTCACTCTAAATTAAGTGAGTGATTAAAAACATTTTTTTTTTTCCTCAATAATTTTTTTTAATTATTATTTTTTTATGATAATAAAACTCCTTCATATTTATACTATTTTATTATTATTTTTTATTAATGTTTGTAAATAACAATATTGTTATCTATTATCTGCTTTTGTCCATACATATGATATAATAGATAAAAAAAATTTTATTTTTTTATTTTTATTTATTTTTACAATACAAAAAACTATATTGGGTATTAGGATCAAACAAACACATACAACAACCACTCAAATATAGTGAATCTTAACTAACACTATTCACACTCTATTCCTAACTCACTCTAACACTATATGATTCATAATAAAAAAAAAAAAATTTTAAAAAAAAAAAAATGGGGGTAATTCTGATATCTATATTAGAAAATTAAAAGAGTATTTGTTCTCTTTATATTTTAAGTTAATTAATTTTTCAATTAATGAATAATATATTTATATTAGATTGATTTGAAATTTATTATAAAAAAAGATTTATTTAATGAATGAACAACAATGAGTATGTATTTTTTTATAGATCTTTACAAATTTTTTTTTTTTTTTTTTTAATTTATTTTTTTATGAAATATAAATTGATTTTCCTATTGGTGTAACGGTTGCCATTGGAATATGAATTGAATTAATACTATTTTCATTATTATTATTATTTGGGTCATTGTTTATGATGGCACTAGCTGGTTTTTTATATTTTAATAGACATAATAATAAAAATAAAAACAAACCAACCAAGGCAGTTGTTAGTATGATGGATCTAATAACAACGAAATATTCGCCTATACCCCATGAATATTTCATCTATATGAAAATTTTAAAAATATTAATATTTTTTTAATTATTTGTATAAAATAGGTATTTAACTTACATATATATCAGTTGAAGAATATTGCATTGTAATTTGACCAGATGATGTTGAACATTTACCAAAATGGTGTAAGCCGATAGTCGAATTTATATTGAATGTATTGCACAAGTTGTCAGTAAAATGGTTGAAACGGTCTTGCTTAATAAAGTATGTGGGCAAATTTAAAGGCAATGCTACAGCAATACCAAAAGTAATTCCAACAATTGCAAGGTAAAAAACTGATACTATAGTGATACATATGTCTCTTTTTCTTTTAACCATAAATGCTGACATTTCTCCATTTCTAATCATTTCTCTAAATTCATAGTTACATTTTAATAGTTTTGTAAAATGTAAAATGAATAATAAAAAGGCCATGAAAACCAATAGAATTAGATACCATGCACTGAGGTAGAAGAATGATTTGAAAAATCTATATAATGGCGATTCTGGTGAATATTTGGTTCTTTGGATAGTGCTTAAAATATTTCCATTATTTGATATAGTAATGTTTGACTCATGGTCCAAAAATTGGTATTTATAATGATATCTATTTAAATTGTAATAGTTGAAAGAATCGCCCGAATATTCGTATGTTTCGACTGTAAAAATTGTATTATTAAAATTTATTAATATAAAAGAAAATGAAATAAATGTAATAATGCATATTATTGATAAAAATATATATGGTTTTGTACTTGTATACATTATTAATTGATGATGATTATGATTATTAATATAACCAATAAAAAATATTAATTTTATTATAATTGTGTTTAATTTAAAATGAAATGAAGGGTGGGTATATTTTGGGTGTGAGGGTGGTAAATAAAAGATAGAGATTTATAATTATTTTTTTATTATTTCTTTATTTTTTTTTTTTTATTTCTATAGAAATTAGTGTATGTATACAATGATATATAATAAGAGATATTTATAATTATAAAAATATTATTAGAATTGTTAACATTTAAATACTAAATTTTATTTTTTGAAAAACAAATAAAAAATTAAAATAAATAAAATAAAATTTATAAATTTATAATTGTGTGTGGGTTGTGTGTTATTACTTTTTCAGAAAATTTTCATTTTGTTTTGAATATATAGGTTAATAAATCAAATATTTAATATTATAATAATAGTATAATTATTAAAAATTATTATATATAATAAGTTTTAAATAAAAACTAATATTTTCAATCACCTAAAAAAAAATTGAATTCTATTTCTTGTTTATGTGAGTTAATCAATATATTATTATAAAGGTATTCTTTTTTAAAAATACTTTTAATTGTTTACTATTTATAAATATACTTGATTTTTCCTAATTATTTGAAAGGAAAAAAAAAAAAAAAAAAAAATAAAAAAAATAAATAAAAAAATAAATAAAAAAATAAATAAAAAAAAATAAATGAAAAAAGAAACTCTATAAAAACAATACCAATATTATTTATATTTATATATATTTAGTAATAATAATATTATTGATAATTATAGTTATATAAAATTAAAAAAGAGAGTGATAATGTAATGCTCTACTTGTAAATTACATGATTAGAACTGTTTGGTTTTATTGTTATTGTATTAATAGTTGTGTAAATATTACAATTACACATAAAAGTGAAAGAAAATCTAAATACAATAATAAAAAATACTATTTTTAATTGGTTTGGTGACTGTGGGAGGGGTTATTGTGGGGGTATGTCTTTGTGTGAGATGTCCAAAAAAAAAAAAAAAAAAAAAATTAAAACAATAAAAAAAAAAAAAAAAAAAAATTTGCTCTGCTGTATCACCATGATTAATTATGATGACTCTTTCTATTTTTGTCCTTTGTTTTAAATTATAATTATAATTGTTATTATTAATACCATTATTATTATTATTTTTATTTTTAATTTAAATATTTTTTTATAAAAAAAAAAGGAAAAAAAAAAGTATAAAATTTATTTTTTATAATATAAATAAAATACAAAGTATTAAATTATAAAAAACAATTTATTTTTTTTAATAATATAAAGAACTATTTATTACAAAAACAAAAAAAAGAAAAAAAAAGGAACAAATACAAGAAAAAAGAAATAAAAATGAAAATCATTAACAATTTAATTTTAATTATAGTTTTATTATTTATATCTGCCAACAACTCTTTTTCACAAGAATATGACTCGACTTACCTTAATAGTTTAATTACCGATCCAAAGAATCCTTGTATGAACGTTAAATGTACTGATCAATACCCACAAGATTGCAATGTTAGAGGTGGTGAAATATTTTTTGCAAGAAATACCGCCATTGGAATTTGTTGTGCCAAATGCATAAACCACTCTGTATTAGACCCAGAAACCCTTCCACCAAAACACTAAATAAATGATTTAATAAACTATTTATTATTATAAAAAACTAAAATAAAATAAAATAAAATAAACTATAAAATAAGTAAAGATATGTTCATTTATATCAGTTATTAAAATTATTATAAAATCTGTAAATATCAAACTTAAAAAAAATTTTATTTTTTTTTTTTTATTAATTTTTTTAAAATTTTTTTTTTTAAAAATTTTTATTTATTTAAATTATTATTTTTTTTTTTTTTTTATATTTTATTTTTATTTTTTTTTTTTTCACCATATTTCTTATTTTAATCTTATTTTGTAAAATAAAATTAATAAAATAATATATATATATTATATATTATAGAAAAAGAAGAAAAAAATGTATGATAAAGATTTTTTTCGCCAATTCAAAGATTATTATTTAAAAAAAGAATTATATGGATCAAACCCACCATTAAATAGATATCAACATACACTCGCTAATGATGCATATAGTGTACCTCAAGCTGAACAAATAAACAATAGTACTTTAATAAATAGTGTAAATAATAATAACTATATACCCAATAACCAAATTTATCATAAAAGTAACAATGTATCAATTCAACAAAATTTAAATGATAATTTAGTATCGCAAATGGGATTAGACTCAATTATACCATATAATATAAGTAAATGTCCCTTTTGGATATCATGGTCACCAGACAACTCATATTTAGCATTGTCAACTAGTAAATATCATTATAATGTTAGAATAAAATTTTTTAAAAATAAAAGATACTAATTATTTTATTGTATTTTATTAGATGATTCAGTAGATATTTTCGAACCAAATTCAGGTGAGTTGTTATATAGCATTAAAGATCATAGACAAGTAGTATCAATGGTTTTATGGTTAAATGAAGGTCATGGCGAAGTTGAAAATGTAAATAATATATATAATAAAAGCAAAACAGTTATATTAAGAAATCAATTTAATGAAGACTATAAAGTACCAGGCGAAATTAAATCGAAAACATCACAATCAAAATATAGAAATTCATTAATATCACCCTACTCTTCATTTTTATCGTGCTCATTAGATCATTCAATTAATATATATAGAAATTTCGAATTGGTAACATCATTAACAGAACATGATGATTGGTTAAAATCAATGGCAGTAACATCAGATTCAACATTTCTATTAAGTGGTTGTGCATCATCAACTATTTGTGGATGGGATTTAACAAGAGGCAGTGTTAGATTTAAAATTGAAAAAGCACATCCAGCAAGTGATAGCACTGGCAATTTAAATACAGTAAATAGTTTAAAGTTTAGCAATTTTAATAGCAATGTGTTTGCATCAGGCTCAAGATATGGTACAATGCGTCTTTGGGATATTAGAGAAGGCTTCAAAACTCCATTATTCTCAATACAAGCCCATAACAAATTAAATCTTTTACACTTTACCAAAGACGATAGACATATTTTAACCTCTGGAAGAGATAATGCCATTCGTTTATGGGATATAAGGGCGTTGGTTTCATCACCATCAACCAAAGTTGTTGGACTCAGTGGTAGCTATGAAAATCCTAGCGAAAGTAATTCTACTGGCGGCAGTAATGATCATACAAAGATTGGTATTGTTAGAGAGTATCGTAAGCACAAGTGTGTCGGTTACAATATTGGGTGTTCATTCATCAACAACGATAGACAAATTGTTTCAGGTTCAGAGGATCAACAGGTTTATATCTATGATACAGATTCTGGCGAAGTAGTCAAAAAGATTGCATCACACCGTTCACCAGTTCACTTGGTTCCCGTATGCAATGGTGGTAGTGAAATGAGAATAGCTACATCAAGTATTGACGCATGTGATATTCACATTTACTCACCTCAAATTATTGAAAGTGATGAAAAACTCACATATGCCAATAAATATTTAGGTATAAGGGCACCAAAAGAAGAAGATGTAATTCCACAAATTAAAGTTGCACCATATTTACAAAGAGTTACAATGGAAAGCCTTATGCAAAGATTTGGCGATAGACTTTTCCAATTTTATCACAAGAATAGAATATCACCATCAGAAACTACAAATCACGAAGAATTTACAGATTTAAATAAACTCATCGAAGAAGAATTTAAAACACAACTTTTCGCAGAAGCTAGAAAGATTGCAAGAAAACTAAATTTAACAGATAGAGAATTTGTAGATTTAATTGCAAGGAACGCAAGCATCGACGATCCATCATTTTTTGATAAAACAATAGATGATGATAAAATTGAAAGAGATGGTACCATTGATGAAAAACAATTTGGCCCTTTGGTACAACATTTAACACATTTAAATGCAGATGGTGGTTCACTTTATAGTTTTTCAGATGATGATTTTTCAGGAAGCGATATTTCTGAAGACAATGTTGATGATTCTGAAGAAAATGTTGATGATTCTGACGACAGTCAATCAGTTGGTTTCAATTTAATAGAAGAAAATGGTAATATAAATATTAGTGATTTTAGCAATTCAGACAGTGGTGATGAAGAATATTTCAGTGCCGAAGAAGAAAGTAAAGAATTTGGTAAAACTTTTAAATTTAATTTCAATTTTTCAGATAAAAATAATAATAATAATAACAATAATAATAATAATAGTTCAGATGATGATAGTAGTTAAAATATTATAGCGATAATTAAAATATTATAAATAGATAAAAAAAAAAAAAAAAACCAATTATGATAATTTTTTTTTTTTTAATTGTAAAATAAAACATACTTAAAAAACAAAAGATATTTTATTTATTTCTTTTCATTTCTTTTTTATTTCTTTTTATTTTTTTGATGATTTATTGGTGTTGGTAGTTGCAGTTGAAGTTGCATTATTAATTTTTTTATTTGGAAGTTCTGGTGCATATTTAATATCTTTATTTACTTTATTTGAAAATATATTTAAAATATTTGTACTTTGCGAATTAATATTTTGTGGTAAACCTAATAATTTTAAAAATTTATTTGAATTGAAGAGTTGGATTTGGGCAATTGTAAAGATAGCTGATGGTACCCAATATAAATAACATATTGCTGGAATACTGGGACTAAATAATATTAATGATACTGACATGATTCTTGATACCCATTTAACTAAATTAATTAAAAATGATTGACTATTTGCAAATGCTAACTCAGTTGCTAATAAATATAATGCAGAGCAAATTGTTGGTAAAATAAACAATGGATCAGATGAAGCTAAATCTGGGAACCACAACATTCCAGCGTCTTTGAGTGATGGATAGTTTTCAGCCATATCACGAAAAGCAAAAACTGAACTAACTAAAAATGGAAGATTAGAAAGTGGTAAAAGGAAAGAGTAAATTGGGTGACATCCTTTTTCTCTTAATATTGTTGTGATTTTGTCAGATACCTCGGCTCTTTCAGAGAGTGGTGCACCTTTTTGACGTAAAAGTTTTTGTTGCTCTTTAAATTTATCCAATTGTGGTTTAATCTCTAATAATCTTGCAGAATTTACTCTACTCTTTATTGAAATTGGAAATAGTGCTAAACGAAGTGCAACTGTAAATGTTGGTACAATTATTAACCATGGTAAATGTGAAAATTGATGGAGTTTATTTAAACAGACTTCAATAAATGTTGGAATACCAGTGATGGGTATTAATTCTGGATCATTGATTTTAAATTTATCTAAATTAATTGTAATTGTATCAATGTTATCTGTTGGTAATTTAGTTGGTTCCAAAATATTATTATTTGATGCTGCACTATTAATTTTATTTGGATCTACAATATAATTTTTAATATCAAAATTATCAATATTATTACTATTTGTATTATTATTTATGTTGTTATTTTCTGTACTATAATTTCTAAAACTAAGATTGTTTAAATTTGATTTTGCTGATGTTGTTAATATTGCTGTTGTTGATAATTTATTTATATTTAAACAATTTCTGGTATTATTAAATCTAATACCATTGTATAATGATCTTTTTAATATATTATTTGTAATCATCATTTTTGCAATGAAAAAAAAAAATGATTAAAAATTTAAAAAAAATAAAAAAAATAAAAAAAAAATTAAATAAAAATGAAAAATAAAAAATTTATATGGTTTTTTTTTTTTAGAAATATAATATATATTATATTATTTAAAAAAAAATTGTTTATTTAAAAATACAAATAAATAAATAGATAGATAATTTTTGATAATACTTTCTTTTTTTTTTCTTTTTTTTCTTTTTCTCTTTTCTCTTTTTAATTTAATTCCAAACTACACCACTATTATTAAAATCCATATCATTGAAAACTCTGTCAGAGTGAGTGATTGCATTGAAACATTGTTGAATCAATTCATATAGTCCAACGATTTTTTTATTTAAATCAGTAACATCATCACCTTCTTCACTTGATGCTTTAACTGAAATATTGATTTTTAATTGAACTGATGAGGTTTTACATCTACTAGTTGATTCTAATAATTTTTCTTTTGCTTTTCCTTCTGGGAGTTGTCTTGAAATTTGAGTTGCTTCATCATTCTGGTGAATTAAAAAAACAAAAAAACAAAAAAATTAATATTTATTTGGTATCTTGTGAAATAAAATGATGAAAGTTACTTACAATTTGACCAAAATAAGTTGCCATGTCTCTAGTTGCATAAATCATATTTGATCTTTCTTTATTTTGAATTGATTTTGATAATGCTACACAACTCTTTGTTACTTTTTGTAATAATTCAATAAACTTTTCTTTAGGTGTTTTTAATGATTTGAATTTGTATTCTAATGGATCGAAATCATTACTTTCATCATCCTCTTCGTCATCTTCATCATAATCTTGATTTATTATATTTGTTTCTATAACATACTTTAAATCCTCAATATATTTCTTTGACAATTCTTCAATTTCTTTCATTTTATTTTTTAATTTAATAATTTTTTATAAAAAAAAAATAAATCACCTGAATTTTTAAATTTTTAAAAAAATTTTAAAAAAATTAAATTTTTATTTTTTTATTTTTATTATTTTTATTATTTTTATTTTTTTTATTTTTTTTATTTGTGTGCCAGTGGTAAACAAATAAAATGGAAAATGAAAACAAAGAACTTAAAGAGAAAATACAACAAATGGAAACTATTGTATACCAACAAAGAATTCAATTATTAGAAATTGAAAATGCAAATTTAAAAAAAAAATTGGTAAAGGAAAAAAAAGAAAGATTAATTTTAGAAAATAAACTTAAAAAAAAAAAAGATTTGTTTTTAATAATTTGGAGAATAAAAATTTTACGACAAGAAATAATAAATCATTTACGATTGTACAAAAAGTATCAAAAATGTTCATTAGATGATTATAATAAACATTTTAAAATGTTATCATATGTCACAGAAATATCGCATACACTTAATGATGCAAGAGTTTTTGAATGCTTCAAACAACTTCCACCAACCATTGACACACTTAGCATAACTTCAATTCAAGGTCACCTTGATTTTCTCACCCACCACCACGTTGATTTACAAGGATTGCCACCAACTATTAAAACATTAAAACTTTATTTTACCCAATATAACATTGCTCATCCTGCATTTAGACCCGTTCCAAATTTTTTCAATCGTGGGTTCCTTCCAAATACAATTAAAAATTTTTTTTTGGGTGGAGTTATAAAAGGAAATATCCCAGCAAACTCAATTCCCGAATCTGTTGAAACTGTTGTATTTTCTGATGACTTTACAGGAACTATTGAAGATTTTTCATTTCCTCCATTTCTTAAAACTCTTGTTTTGGGTGAAAACTTCAAACAAAGTCTTACTTATAGATCCTTACCGCCAAGTTTAACGGAATTAACTTTCAGATCCAAACAAGGTTTAACTATAGAACCCAATGTCATACCCAAATCAGTAAAAACTTTAACCATATCCAATCATGTAAGAATTAACGGTCCCATTCCCTGGGTCACCACTTTAAAATGCCTTTTAGTAATATAAAATAAAAAATTCCTTTTGTGGGTACCCAAAAATCTTTTTTTTCTTTTTTTTTTTTAAAAATTTTTTTTTTAATTTTTTTAAAATTTTTAAATTCATTATTTTTTTTCTTTTAATAAAAAAAGGAATAATGGTATTTCATTTTTTTTAAATAAAGTTAAATGGAGAAAAACAATAATAATAACAATAATAATATTAATAGCGGCGGTGGTAACACTCCAAATAATAATAATGGTGGTACCACACCAATCATTGGTTTAAGTAGAAAACAATCAAGTGGAAATAAAACATTAAAATCAAAAAACAATACAGTTTTTTCACCTCCAACTAGACTATCATCATCAATATTTTTAGATCAAATAAATAAATTACAGTTAGAATCCTTAGAATATGTTGATCTTTCAGTACCAACTAATATATATAGTTTATCAAGCTCACCATTAATAAATAACCAATATCAATCGCCTATGTCTTCATCGAAACACAATCATCACCATCACTATCGTCACCATAGCAATGGTAATAATCACCATAGTCGTAATCACCATCAACCACAATTACCTTTAATAACTGATAATCATACAAAACAAAATCAATTATTCATATCATCAAGATCAAATTTAATTTCAGTGCAATCCGAAGAAAACTTTGAAACAGGTTCATTATCTTGGATATCGAATGAAATTTTATCAAATTTTGAATTGAACAATGACACTGTTAATAATGAATCAGTGTCAACACCACCCCCATCAACTGTAGGTGGAAGTAACTCTCCAAATTTATCATCACAACAACAATCATCATCCACCAATAGAAATCCATCATCACCATCCAAAACACCAAATAACCCACCACCACCACCACAAAATACTAAAGCATTAGAAAACCAAATAGTATCGATAGCGTCAATAGTGGACAATCATTTAGATACAGTTATCGCTGCAACAATTATTACACCGTTATTACAACAGCAGCAACAGCAACAACAACAACAGCCTCAACAACAATCCCAACAACAGCAGCAACAACAGCCTCAACAACAATCACAGCAACAGCAATCACAACAACAATCACAGCAACAGCAACCACAATCACAACAGCAATCACAGCCTCAAAGTATTAAAGGTTACATTGCATTCTTTATAAATTCCCTTTTAGTTTATGATAGCAACAACAATAATAACAACAATAATAACAATAATAATAATAATAACAAACCTAGCAACCCCAAAAGAAGAAGCATTAATTTATCAAATACCAACACATTACAAGATTTTCAAATGTTTTCAAAATTATATATAGAATATATACCGTTTCATATAACAACATCCGTTATTGAACTTGAAAATGGTGTTAAAAAGAATGTATTTCTTTTGTCAGGAACTGATGAAAAGATTCACATGTATTATTATAGCGAAGAAAGAAATGAATTTATAGAAAGTAGTGAACTATCAAAATATTTCCCAGAGATGGCAAATCTAGGATCATGTGCACTAAAAATAGAAATAAAATATTTTAAACAATTTAGAATTGTGGCCATAGGTTGTCAAACTGGCTTAATAAAGCTTTCAATTACAGATGGTAACTATCACAAATATCACATTTAAAACAAATATATCATATTAATTTTTTATTCTTCACAATAATAGAATTAACAAAAGAGTCCAAATATGAATCATTCTTTTTAGATGGACCAGTTAATACGTTATGTATTTTTAATGAAAACAATGATTTAGATAATAATAGCAACATAAGCAACAATATCCTTTATAGTAGTAATAATAATTTTGACATTGACACACAATTAAATAACGAGTCTATATTCTCATTAATAAACAATAATTTAAATAATACAAATAATACAGCAAACTCTATAAATGAAGAAAAAGAAAAAAATAAAATTCATTTATTGGTTGGAAGTATGATTGGATATGCAGTAGTTTATAGAAATATATTTAATAATTTATTACAAGATGCTTTATTATTAGAGAACTCAGATTCATTCGATAGTGTTACAAGTGTCCACGTTTTTGATATAGATGCCGATGGTGAAAATGAATTATTAATTGGTACCTATGGTATGGAGTTATTAGTTTATAAGAAGCAACCTATCGAAGAAGAATTACAAAATCAAGATTTAAATCAAGAAATAATATCCTCTTCAACCAACTATAAATTAGATAGTCACCGTCATTTTTCTCATCCAATTTTAGGAATACAAACTATCCAGCTTATGGGGGATGGCATTAAACAAATAGTTATCAACACAATGTTTGGCGTTTATATTATGAGAGTACCAATATCAAAATATCAAGAACAAGTTTTAAATAAATTAGATTTGATAAAAGAAATTATTAAATTAGAAAAAGAAAAAAATCCACAACTTACAGCACCCGTTACAAACCCAAAAGATATAAACCAATCTCAACCACAAAAAAATAAAAATAAAAATAAAAATAAAAAAAAATAAACATGGACTATAAAATATAAACTAAAGATTATTGCTGCCCCTTAATAAAATTATAAGATTAATATCTCTTTTTTTTTATTTTTTTTTTATTTTTTTTTGTATGTTCAATAGTGTTATGTCTTATTAAAAAGACAGATCTATGAAAATTTTAAAAACCACTATTAGTAAACTAATATTAACAACAAAAAATAACAATAATAATCTTCAGTATTTTTTAATTAATTTATTACCAAATCTCGATTTAATTAAGATTTAACAGTGTAATCTTTTAAATAATCAGATATAGCTTTAAAAATGTGGGATTTTGTTTTTTTTATTTGTTTTAATTAAAACTTTTTATTTATTTAGTTTTTGTAATCATCATTTATTACTGACTTCTTGCTATTGAAGCTCTTTAAATTAAATATTTTAATTATTAATACACTGAGGACAACACTTATTGACTAGGTATCCAATATGCTGATTTGGTTTACATCTTAACTTCTGTCTGTTTTGATAACAAACCACAGGGTTACATTTTACACAACTAAAACAACAATGATCCCTTAGTTTAACCGGATGTTGTCCTTTGGGACAAATAGTTTGTTTTGGACATCTCTTTTCTATGCATGAATCTGAAAATTCTTGAGAAAATGAAATATTAATATATAATATTATTATAATTAAAAAAATAATTATTAAACTTTTCATTAAATTAATTAGGTGTTGGGGTGGTTTGGTGTGGGTTTTTTATATGGAGTGGGTGTTTGTGAGTGTGATTATGATGGTTTAATATGATTATTGATATTATTATATAATAATGTTTATTTTTATTAACATAAAAAGTAATTTTTTTTAAAATAAACAAATTTTAAGAAAAAATAAATAAAAATAAATATTTAAATAAAATAAATAAAATTAAATTTGATTTGGTTTTCTTTTTAAAATAATTAAATTGATTTTTTATAAATCTTCTATCTATTGTAACAATTACCGTTTATATTTATATGTATTTATATATAATTTCATATATAATTTCATATATATTGAATATCTGTTATATCTTTTTAAAAAGTAAATATTTTGAAAAAAAAATTATTTTTGATAATTTATTTTAAAATTATTTATTTTTATTTTTTTCAGTTTATAAAAGGGGGTAAATGGGTGTTATTTAAGTGGAAGTGAAAAAAAAAAAAAAAAAAAAAGATAATTCATTATTAAAATAAATAAAACAACCAAATTCATTTTTTAATTATAAACCTTTTTACTTAAACAAAACAAAAAAACTAAAAATGACTTTATTCTGTAAATATCTTTAATTTTTATAGATTATATATAATTAATTTTATTAATCATTTTTAATTTTCTAATAATATTTTAAATATAGCAAACATAACTTCACAATTTTCATCATCATTTTCATCAAATTTCAAAACATCAAATTATGCAACTGTAAATTTCCAATGTGAAACATCTTCAAATGTTGCCTCATTTTATATTTACGAAAATGTTCTACACTCAAATAAACAAATTAAAAAATATAACAAGAATCTTTAAATCTCTTATTATTTATAAAAAAAAGAGTATTATTTAGAAACCTATCCGAATCCATTCTCATTTTAAAATCACAGCAAATAAAGAAAAATATAAATAAATATTAATTTAAAAAAAAAACAGAATTCATTTTTATATTATCACAATGCATCATATTTAAATAACAAACCATATATTTGTATTTTTCAAACATTTTTTGACAATTAACCTTTTTAAATTTATTTTTTTATATTTGGTTATTGTATTTTTTTTATTTTTATCATTAAAATTACAACATTTCAGAAATAATAAAAAAAATTTTAAAAAGAGATTAAATACCAATTTCTATTAAACTATAATTTCAAAATACAAATAAAAAAAAAAAAAAACCAAATTTGTATTATTTATTTTTTTAAAAAAAATTATCTGTAAAAAAAAATTATTCTTTGCCCTTATGATTTTTAAATTCAGATTTTTAGACCAATTTATATACAAATGAATGATTTAAAAAAGTGAAGATATGGAATTAAATATATTTTACTTTATATGTGCAAAGATTATAACCAACTTATAGGATAAGAGTAGTTAATGTAAATTAATATTTTTAGATTCTTTTTATTATTATCATAATGCAAAATCAAAAAAATGAAAAATATTTCTTTGAAACTAACAGATTTATTTATTATTTATTTTTTTTATTTTTATTTATTTATTTTTATTTTTTAAATTTGTTTATAAACCTCTCTTTTTTTTATTTTATACATTTTAATTATAAAAAAAAATTAAAACAAAATGAAATTATTTAAATACAATTGCTTAATTCTTATTATTTGTTCGCTCTTTATTATTGGGTTTGTATCAAGTAATGAAAATGCTAATGATTCTGCAACCGAAAGTAAATTAAATTGTTCAACAGTGTTTTGTCCATTGATTCCATCACAGTGCCCAAAGGGTCAAGCTTTGTTTACAGAGAAATGTTGTCCTCGTTGTGTTAACTGTTCAGATTACAAATGCCCCAAAGAAATTAAATGCGAAACTGATTTCCATCTAACTAAAGATCCCAAAAACTGTTGTGAATCATGTGTTAAATGTAACCCAATTGGATGTCCTCGTATTGCCATTATTTGTAAAAAAGGAGAACACCCAGGAGTCCCAGTTAATAAGTGCTGCGCTGAATGTGTTAAATGTACCCAAGAATGCCCATTGATTAATTGTATTACCGGTTCTGAACTATACTACCCAACAAACAGTTGTTGTCCAAAATGTAGACCAATAGAAACATCTAAACCCTCACAATAAACTAAAAAAAATATTTTATAATATTTATAAAAATATTTCATTTACACAACTACACTAAATGGTATAGTTATTATTTATTATATATTATTATATAAATATATAATAGTTATATATGTTTTATTTTATTTTTAAATATTTTTTTTAAATTTTTATTTTATGTATTTTTTTATTATTTTTATTTATATTTATGATTATTAATGTTCGTGAGATTCTGAATTTTTAACTAAAGAATGATAAATACTATTTTCATCTTGATTTAAAGTATCTGGAGCATCGAATTCGACTAATTCACCTTTATCGAGAACCATAACAATATCACTTTCTCTAATTGTATTGATACGATGAGCAATAGTTAAAACTGTACAATCTGCAAATTCGGTACGAATTGTATTTTGAATAATACCTTCAGTTTCGATATCAATTGCGGCAGTAGCTTCATCCATAACAATAATTTTAGATTTCTTAAGGAGAGCACGACCCATACACAATAATTGACGTTGACCTACTGAGAAATTTTCACCATTTTCTTGAACTGGTGCATCTAAACCGCCTGAAAGATCTCTAATTGCTTTACCTAAATGAGAACGATCGATTGATTCCCAAATTTGTGCGTCATCATATGAATTGAATGGATCTAAATTTGATCTAATTGTACCTGCAAATAATACTGGATCTTGTGGAATAATAGCAATTCTACTACGAAGGGTATTTAACCCCAATTCTGTAATATCAATACCATCGATTTCAATAGTGCCTCTAAGTGGTTCAACTAAACGGAAAAGAGCTTGAGTTAATGAACTCTTACCAGCACCTGTACGTCCAACAATACCAATTTTCATCTTTGGTTTAATCTATAAAGTTAAATAATAAAATAAATATTAGTATATTTAATAAACCAACCAATGAATAAATAATAAATAATTATGTAACTTACCTCACAAGAAATACCACGTAATACTGGATCTAAACCTTCACGATATGTTAACCAAAGATTTTTAAATACAATACCACCTTCAGTAGGCCATTTCTTTGAAACACGTTTATCGTTATAGAGTGGAGCTTCTGGAGCTAAAGTACAATATTCTTGAATTCTTTCAATTGAAACTACACTATTTTCTAAATCACATGACATTCTAACCATCCAATTCATATTTGATGTAATTGCTAAAGCATAGGTGATAACTAAACCAGCTGTACCTGGATCAATATGACTTCTAGCCAAAACAGTGTATAATACGGCAGATGTAACAATGCAAGCACCTAAAAATTCGAGTCTAATAGCGAGCCATCTATTAGCAGCAACATTAATACCATAACATTTTTGATTATCATCCAAAAGTCTTTCGTTCTCTTTGACAAATCTTGGGACTTCTTGATAAGCTCTAATTGTAGTGACACCAGCTAAAGTTTCACTGAAATTTGCATAAATTGGTGAACGAGATACACCTTCAAGACGAGTTAATTCTCTTGAGCTATTTAAATAATAACGTTGAATAAAGAAGAAAAGAGCTGCAACTGGAACCATAGCCAAAATAATAAATGGAGAAACTAAGGCGATGACGATAATTGAACCAATAACTTGACAGAAAGTATTTAAAAACATACCAAGAGTACGAGCAATAGATTCATCGATAGTTAACTGATCTTTAGAGAAACGATTTAAAATTCTACCAATTGGGGTGGTATCAAAGAAGCTCATTGGTGAACGAATAACACTGTTGAACATTTTTTCGTGGAAAAGTTTTGAACCTTTAATTGAACCGAATACCATTGCAAATGAACGAAGGAATGTAGCACTAATTGTACCAAGTGAGAAAAGAACATAAATTAATAAATAGTGTCTTGCGGTTCTATTTGCTTCATCTTCACTAAAGTCACTGGCACTTGAAGTTGTGGTATTATTGGTCCAAACTGAAAGCCACCAATTTGCAAGAATTGATAATAATTGAGTTAAACCATAAAAACCAGTAATACAACCAGCTAAAATTGGGCCAATAGCCTTAAAGTATGAGAAATAAACTTTGAGAGAAACCTTACCTTCTTGTTTGGTTTCAATTGTAATGATCTTTGATTTATCTTTTGGTGGAGCATTAACGATTTCAATTGGTTTGGTTTCGTTATTAATTTGTTGTTTAATTTTATCTTTTAATAAATTCAATGGTTTTAATATTGATTTCTTTTCATTTCCTTTAGTTAGTGAATCATTTTGACCATTACCATCAATGTCGATATCTTCCATTAACTCTTTTTCATCTCCACTTGATTCTTGGTCATCCATTGGTTCATTGGAAATTAAAATAGCATTACCAGTTGGTGATGGTGATCTTGAACGAACTCTAGAAACTCTATCTGATGATGATACTAATTTAGTTGTTGATTGATCACCCTCCTCCTCTTCGTTATCATGATCACTACCTACAGATTGATTTAATTTTGATTGACCTTCATCTTCTGACTCTATCTCTTCGCCCTTTGATCTATCTGGAGTTTGACTATTAGATTGACTGGTTTCATCGTGTGACATTAATTGTGAGAAATGACTATTATTTGACATTAATTGTTCAAATGTACCTTCTTCAGCAATACGACCATCTTTCATCATTATAATTCTATCTACAAATGGAAGATAATGTACTGCATGTGTAACCAAAACTCTAGTTTTATTTCTTAATATACCTGTATTATTTGCTAAAACATTCTTAAAGATTGATCTACCGACATGGGCATCTACAGCTGAAAGACAATCATCAAATAAATAAATATCTGCATTATTATAAACAGCACGAGCAATTGAAACACGTTGTTTTTGACCACCTGATAAATTAATACCTTTTTCACCAATTTCTGTTTGATCACCACCTGGAAGAATTTTAATATCTGGAATAAGACAACAGGCATCGACTACTGAATCATATTTTTCTTGTTGGAATTCTTTGGCAAAAAGAATATTGTTCTTGAGAGTTGCATTTTGAATCCAAGCTTGTTGAGTTACTAAAGCTACAGAACCTTTAACGGCAACAGAACCCTTAACCTTATCTAAATCACCGACCAATGAAGATAAAATACTAGATTTACCACTACCAACATGACCTACAATAGCTAATAATTCACCTGTACCAACTTTAATATTGATATCATGAAGAATTGGTTTATGTGGCTCCCATTCTAAAGTAGCATTGTCAACTTTGATGGAAACGTCATTTTCGCTGATGTGATGTGTGACAACATTTGGATCGAGATCTTTCTTTAAAAGGAATTTTTGAAGACGTTGAACTGAAACTGATGCTTCAATGATTGAACTAACAACTGATGGTAACATATTAATTGGGAATTGCATTACATTGAAAAGTGCAAGACTTGGGAAAGCAATTTCAGCTGTTAAAACACCGCCTGTTAAAATATAAACTGTAAATGTGATAACTGATACGAAAACTGGACTCATTGACCAAAGTAAAAGTGAAAAACCTTGAATATATTTGATAACCTTCATAACTGCCAACTCTTCATTTCTAATAGAGTTTACATGATCCATAAAGTTTTGTTCCCATGAATAAAGTTTGATTACCTTGATACCATTTAATACTTCATTAACTGCTTTAGTACGACGATCCTTAAGTTTCATTGATACAACTTGTCTCTTTTTATTGATATTACTGATGAATAAATTGATTGGAATCATGACTAACATAACACCTAAACCAGCAAATACACTTGGTCCTAAATGTCCATAGAGAAGGAAAAGAGCAATTGCTAATTGTTCAAGAGCTGACCAAATCATATGAAGATATGGGCAAAGATCCATGAATTTTTGTGCATCAACAGACATAAGATTAACGATTTCACCAATTGTAGTACCTTCACGTAATGATGTTTTTAATGATTTTTTGTAGACAGAGGTGACAACGGCTGAACGTAACCACATACCAACACGGAAACATCTATGGAAATATTGATGAAGAAGAATTGATTGGCAAACTGGTGCTAAAAAGTATAATAAAACATAGATTAAACCGTCATAGGTACTAACACCATTTCCTTTAACAAATGAAAGTACTCTTCCCAAAAGAGTTGGACCAACGAAAATTAAAAGATCTTGAATTAATTTAAAAATTGCAGCAACATAAAAATGTGGGCCAAATGCTGTAGCTAAAGCCCATGGTAATGATGGATTAGGTCTCTTTAATTGATCAGCCCAAGCTTTTTCGAATTTCTCTGATAATATTTTACTTTGATCCATTTCGACCAATCCTGGTACATCTTGCATTTCCAATGCTTTCTTTTGACCTTTAACTAAAATTGAATTTACCCACCAAAAAGTAATACGACTGAATAAATTGGCATTTGCTTCTTGGGAAATTTCATACTCCTCTAAATTTTGATATGATTGACCAGTTTCGAAAAATAATACACCAGTAATTGATAAAATTAAAATTAAACAATAACCAACAAAAAATGAAAAATATTCTAAAAATCCAACTTCAATATTTGTTTGCTATAATCAATGATTTAATTTAAATATTGAAAAATATTAGTATTATATTATTAAATGGTTGTTATTATAATATCAATACTTACGCCTGCAATTGCCAAAGTTAAAGTTCTTAACTTTATAGTGGCGACTAAAAATGCCAATACCCAATATAAACGTAACTCCCAGCCTCTTGGTTGACTCTTTTTTAATTCTAAATAAAGTAGACCAAATGCAATAGACCATTGAGTGATGGTTACAACAGAATAAAATAATTCATATGGTTCGTGATATATGGAAACTGACACTATAAAAAATAAAACTTTCCATGCTATTAAAAGTAGTGATACAATGATCTCTAACTGCAGTGATTTTTTCCATGTTGGAAAGTCTTGAGTTAACTGTTTAAATTTAAATAAATCGGGTTTCTTGTTTTCTAAATAATATAATCTTTTCATACCAAACACTATTAAAAATACTGCTGGTATGGTCATTACAACTGAATCTTCAAAACATTTACTAAAATCTCCTGAATTCCATACTGTAAATTTGTTGCCTTCACCACAAAATTCCATTTTCGTTAAATTTTGTTTATTATAATATTATTTATAATACTACAATTATATATATATATGTGTATTTTTTTTTTTTTAAATTTAAAAAAATAAAAAAATTTTAACCTTTATAATAAAATAATAAAAATAATAAAATTAATATATTAATGTTTTTTTAAAGAATTTTTTTTTAAATGTTTAAATAATAATAAAATAAAACAATAAAATAATAAAATGTTTAAATAAATAATAAAATCTAATGGTTTAATTATTTATTTTGTGTGTGCATGTGTGCGGTTTTTAATTATTTTTTTTTTTATCATCTAATAAACATGTAGTTTAATATTATTTTTTTGTATTAAATTAATGATGTTTATAATTTTACTTTTTTTTTTTTTTTTTTGTTCTTTTTGTAAAAAATAATTAAACTTTATAAACTTTTTAATGATAATAAAACATTATCAAGATTTTAAAGTTTGTTTTTATTATTTTTTCTTATTTCTTTAATTCTTTGTCCACACAAAGATTCCAAAAAATATAAATGAAAAAAAAATAAAAACTTTTTAAATGCAAAAAAAAAAAATGAAAATAATTAAAAAAAAAAATCGGCTTTTTTTTTTTTTTTTTCGTAAAATATTAATATACATACCTTTTAATTAATTTCTAATTAATCTATTCTTTTCTTTTATAAAGAGTTCAAATTAATAAATCTTTATTTTATAAATTTTATTTTATTGGTTTTTATTAGATCTTTTTTAAAAAAAAAATATAAATTTAATTTAATTTTTTTATTATTATTATTTTATTATTTTTATTTTTTTAAAAAAATTTATAATAATAAATAAAAATAAAATCAATTAAATAAATAAAAAAAACTATATTTTTATAAAAATGAAATAAATAAAAATATGATTGTGTAAATAAAAAATGAATTTACTGTGTGTTATATAAATAAAATTAAAAACAAAAATAAATTTTTTTTTTTTTTAATTTATATTTTTTTTTATTTTTTTATTTTTTTTTTTAAAAATAATTTTTTGTTGAAAGAATATGTGATTCTTTGGTTCTTCTGTGTCTGAAATTTCAAAACAAATGATTACATTTTTATTTTTCACTTATATTTTATCCCACTGACCATTTTTTTAAAAAAAAAGAACATAAAATTTTATTTTATTATTTAAAAAACATATATAAATAAAATCTGTCCATATAGTTTTTTTTTTTTTTGTAATTTTAAAAGAAAATAAAAAAATTTCTTCTAATTTAGTGTATATACTAAAAATAAACCCTTTTTAATATGATCATTTTACACCCAATCATTTTAAAAAAATAAAACCGTAGCTTTCCCTCCATAGCTATAATATTTCTAAAACTAAATAATTAATGAATAAATAAATAAAAAAAATAAATAAAAAAAAATCAAATAAATGAATAAATTACTAAAAGAGGGTATAGGGATACAAACAATTATTTTTTATAATTTTTATTTTTTTTAAAATAAAAATATTTTTTTTTGAAATTTTTAAAATTTTTTTTTTCGTAAAAAAATACCAACATATCATTTTAAAATGGATGGTAATAAAATAATAACCGAGGAAAATGAAAATGATTTCGTTTTTAAATTAAAGGTATTGTTCAATCAGTTGGTTCATATTCCAACAATGCTTGCAACACTTAAAAATGAAATTTCCCCCAATTTTTTGAAAAGGAAAACAAATAAATTAAATTTATTTTACCAATGGACCCCTAC